GGGGGGGGGAGGGTGTGATGTCACATGGGCCACCTCGGTCCAGCTTAGACTGAAAGCGATCCAAAACTGTAAAGAGTTTTTTTCGGGTTTGAGTTGGGTGGGGGAGGGGGGAGGGTGCTCTTTAAGATGGACCCACTGCGTTGAACCACACCTTCTGTAATAATTCCTCTCCAAAAAGCCCCCCAGCCCCGCTCATATTCCCTTTGATAATCCTCCTTTTTTAAAGAGAACAATTCTAGTGTTTAGTACTGAAGCGAGTTGACATGCGTCAGACAGGAAGCGCACACTTTGAAACCAGGCCGGAGCGCAGGGACCCTTGGCTCCAGCGATCCGCAGCAGCACCTCGCAGCACTTGCCGACCATGATATGTTAGCAGTTAGCCTCAAATTTGTCTCTCTTTACGCATGAGACCTTTACAGTCTTGATGGCACTTTTAGAATTTGCACAAATTGTGGATAAGGGTTGTTTTATTTTTTTTTTCTTAAGCTTTTCCATGTAGCTGCTAAATTTCATCTTTCATTTCATAAATTTAAGCGCTTTTGCTCCACATTTTTGAATCGCAGTAACTCATCTTCATATTTTGCTTTTGTGGTGCCTTTTTAAGATATTAATTGATTTTTTTTTTTTTTTTTTTGAATAAATTGTTTGCACTTTTTTCTTGTCAGAGGGTAAAACTAATTGTTTTGGTATGAGACTGTCACTTAGTCCGAAATCTAGTTGTTTTTGAAGCTGGATTGCTGATAAGTGTTTACATAACCAAAGGTTGTATTAGTACTAGGAAACTTGTTTTTAACTGGTGTACTGACCAGACAGCCATACTAAACTGAGATCAGCATGTTCTCCAAAGTTGCTTCGGGTAGTTTTATCAGGATAAACGTGTCCTCAGTCATCCATCACCTTGCACAAAACCCTCCACGTTTGCATTGAATTCTTAAACAAGAGTTTGTAAGTGTGATACTGGCCTAGAGCCTGTATTAGCAGCACATACAAGCTGCTTTAACTATATCGCCCTCTGCTGGTGAATGAATTCGGCCAAAGTGGAGTTGTGCCCATGAGGCTGCAGGCCCAAATCCCAGGAGGAATCGTTGACTGAGGTTTGCTGTCTGGCTTGTTCAGTTCATTTAAGAAAATAAGGGCATGTAGCTGCTTGGGAAATACATTCTGCAAAATGAAATGTGCTGCCTGTGGTAGGCAGCTTGAAGAGGAGCAATTAGTTCATATTTCATACCTCAGGGGCAAAGAGTCACTGTGCTATTTGCCCTTTTATTTAGCTATAACCTGCATCATATATACTTGATAGAAATATTTAATGACCTCTGTTACTACCATGCAACCTGTCTGCTGTGCATTCTGATGGCCTGACGCTTATCGATACCTCACAGGTACAGACTGAACTGGGGGAAAAATAAGTTTAAAAAAATATTTAAAAACACCCCCCCACACACACTCAGTCAAACTGGCCCATTGACTGATGCAGAGTGTGCTGTCCTGCCCCATCTTACGAGCTGCTGCTATCAGAACATGGGTCTGTAGATGTCCGCTTATTTTAGCTCTACGGCTCCACCTGCCAGCCGTTGCGCACAATTGTAGCTACATTTTGAAGTTTCTTAATGTAGAAATCTGCCGGTAGCAAAGGTACCATAGCATCTGCTTTGTATTACTTGAATTTTTTTCCCCAGTGTTGTTCATAGTCTTAATGATTGGATCACTGTCTGTCTATCTGTGCAAGCTTGTATCACCTAATTCTAGCTCTAATGAGGTGTTCACTAAAACAATAGGGTTTCCATATGCAATTTTGTTCAAGTCAGCAAATTATTGAAATTAAGTAGTGTTAAAGTACATTGGTATTAAACATCTAATTAGCATTATTAAATTGAATTAGTGTAATTAGCTCACTCAACCTTGTAGCTGTAAACTTTAAACATTTGCACTAAGTCTGCACGGTATATTGAGCCATCTTAAGCTGTATTCTCCATTTCTCAGCATGAATGGTTTTCTTGTATCTCGTCTAGTATGGCTGACCTCTGGCACTGAGCGCAGACAGAAATTTATCGTTAAATTGCTCCTTTGTTCCTGAATTTTGAAGCAGTTTTTTTAAAAAAAAAAAAAAAAAAAAAGAAAGAAAAAAGAAGACAATCAGTACTGTAAGGGCTTTTTGTTTTGTGGTTTTTTTTGTTGTTTGTTCCTATCCAAAAAAAAAAAAAAATCATTACATCATGGTATTCCACAAAAGTAACGGAGTGTTTCAGGCCTGTGATTCAAAGTGACTACGCTTGTTTGTTCCTTTAGCCAAAAACAAAGCAAACCACCTGTCGTAACTGTTTACACTAAAATGCTTTTGTTCAATCTGCTATTCCTTATGCTTAATTGGATTTTATAATCGCTCTTGGTATTCTTCAGTCGCATTACTTATTCAGCTCATACCTAGAATTGTTCTCTCTTAACCCTCGTACTGTTGTGGCAAAGACACAGCAGATGGCTTTTGAAAAAATAAATAAATACATGGTGAAACATGGTAATCACTGGGGAATTAGTGGTAGGTGGGCTGTTCAGGCTCCAATAGCACATGTCTTTGATTCTAAGTAATAAGTAGTAATAAGATGAGAAATCCTTTTTGCATCTTTATTAAAAATTTGTCACTTGACAATTTGGTTCCTAATCAGATTCAGAAGATGGACTGGGAAGGAACTGACTGGCGGGTGGGGGATTAGCAAAGCTTCTCATGCACCCAGGTGTGTGGCCAGTATTGCTGTTTGACGAGCTCTTTATTTAGCAGTTTGAAGCCTTTAAAGACAAGCTTAATATCTTTTACATTTTGGGGAGTAGCCAATGGCAGAAGCGTCATTGTTATTCCCCTTTCTGGATGGTACTACATGTGCTGAAAATGATTGTATTGAGCTACCTGACTTTTTATTTTTATTTTTACTGAAGCCCCAACCCCCCCCTCACCGCCATTGTGATGATGACATCACATAATCAAGCCATTAGACAATGCTGATGTTAAGCTTTTCTCAAGCAGAACAAGGGTGATGTCGTCTCCCCCTTAGCTTAGTACCTTTGTAACCTTGCATTCTCAGTGGCTTTTTTTTAAATTTTTATTCTAAGTAATTTCCTCATAGGCTTGTTTGAGTGGAGGGGCAAAGAGCCGGCCTCCCCTTTAAAGAGCTGTTCCCTGTAGATGTTGACCGGGAACACAGGGGGTTGTAACGGGCTATATAGGGAAAGGCCGTCTTTGCCCTCTGCTCACACCCCCCGATTTCACTGACTTCGTTTACAAGTTTGGAGCATTGATCCATGCAGTTTCTGGGGCTATGGGAAGCCAGAGAGCTTTTTAGAGTAACCTATGAATAATAAAAAAAAATAAAAAATTAAAACACAAAAAAAAAAGTAAAATGCAAAAAAAAAATCTGTAAACATAATACAGTTCCACTCAGCCCTGATCCAAAGCACTTGTTTAAATGATTAAGCACTTTTATATGTTTAATATCTATATATATATTTACATGTACGTGCACACGTGTGCGTGACGTGTGTTACATATGTAGATATTAAAAATAGGAGCTTGAGCTGGTGACTTGTAACCGTTTGCGGGGGAGAAACTGGCGAAACTTACTGCTTCTCTTGTAATCGATCAACAAAGGGAACCGGCATGGACGACGCGCACAGTGGGGTGTGCACGTCCCAGATCGTGCGTGTGCGCACGTGTGTGCGTAGCACAAATACATTACACGGTGTATTTGCACTGCCATTCATTTCATGAGTTGCCAAAAAACAAAAGCAGAAAAGTGAACATGAATTAGATACTGTGGGTGAGACGTATAAATGGACAACTCTGCTGAGCCATGAAGTGAAACTCACTTAAACTGAATGTATAGTCCTTAATTTGTGCGTATTGAGTCGTTGACGGATGATCAGCTTTGTGGCCCCCCCACGGGATTGGCTGACTGGGAAAAGACAGAGATGGGGCTGGGCTTTTCATTATAACCATTCAAAGTTGACTGTCTCATGTGGAATACCGCACCTTGTCAAGCTATGGTGTGCGCGTGTGTGTGCGTGTGTGCTTCTAGATGCACATCCTCTGTGTTGAGTCACTGCAGGCTTTTATCAGAAGTTAGATGAATGAACAGTGTTATGCATGTAAAATATGGTCCAACTCGACCACCCCAATCCTGCGGATGCTGCGGTTTCTTTCCCCATCACTTTACGATCTGTACCAATGAACTATTGGAGGAAGCTACAGACTGGCTTCCTCTGCTGCCATTGTTGAAAATCAGCTTATTGTCCTAATATGGCATTACAATAGTCCCACACCTATCATTGGCTCTGTGAGAACTGGACACCATTTAAATTCTTCTACAAATTAAAGGCACCCTGCTGTAGGAGTTGTAAAATTCTTTTTTAAAGGAACTGCCTTCACAGTT